AGGAGGGAGAATGGGGACTAGAAGGGGGCAGGAGGGAGGGATAGTGACGGGTCAGCTGCTGACCCGAACCGTTTCTGGGACCCTGCCGTTTCAGCAGCTGGGGGTATCTGCAGCAACCGCAGACTTGGCCTCCCGATTGATTCCGTGTCAGTGCAGCGGAATCCGTTCCAAGATCTCCAGATCCCCAGCTTGAACAAATAATAAAAAAAACACCGGAACCAGGGCCAGGCGGAGAACCTGCACTTCGGAACATCGGGGAAAGTATTAACTGTGACACATCTTCCCGTTTCCACCCCCCCCCCCCCACCTCTCCCTTTCGACAAAAAGAAAAATACAACAGTTGAAGGGTCTAGGCCCGAAACGTCAGCTTTCCTGCTCCTCGGCCTGCTGTGTTCATCCAGCTCTACACCTTGTTGTCACAGTTGAAGGAGAAATGGGTTCTCCCGACCTCCTGCAGTATTTGCGCTAAAACTAAACAGCACGAGTTGTGCCGGGAGAAGGGGTTAATAATGTCGGTGTATTTATTCCAGACGCCTCTCTTCTCGCTCTTCGTTTTAAACCAGTAACTGATTTAGCCCCCACCCCCTTCACCAACCTCATTTTGTGTGGAGTAGGAGGAGGAGGTGGCGGCGGTTGGTGGCGGCGGCCTGCGTTGCCATGGTGAGGGCCCAGGGTGTGTGCGCGCGGGCCGTGTACGGCTGGGCTCGTGGGGCGGCTCAGTGCAGTGCCAGGCTGGTGCTGGGCATCGATACCAGCTGTGATGACACCGGAGCAGCTGTGGTGGACGAAACGGGGAACATCTTGGGGGAAGCCCTGCATTCTCAGAAAGGCACTCATCTCAAGTAGGTGTTCCTGATGGAAAAAAAACCCCTCTTCCCGGTCCCTTTTCGTTTTGGGGCGGGTTAGGGGGCGGCGATGGAAATATAACGTGCAACACTGCCTTAAGTGAAATTTGATACATTATAAATCCCTCGTTTTAATCGTTTCCACACTGATGTGACAAAATCACACAATGCCATGTTTTGTGGCCACACCATTGCCAACATCAACACTTCAGTAAACCAACTCTTAAGTTGTTTTAAAAGCAACAGGAACCTGGATGAATCACATTGCTTAAAAAGTATACCAGGAACAAATGACAAGGTGGAAATCTACATAATTTATAAATGGTTTTCTAATTGTTTTACATTATTTTAATAATGTATGCAAAATGAATGCTTGTCAAAATATGCCAGAGTGGGTCAACTTCAGAAAGCATTTAGTTTTTTTCCTGCGAACTGAAAAGATGATGATCAAAAATCAATGATTGCATCGACTTTAACTTGCTTCTGATTCTTCTGTGATCAGAAGATACTTTAAATGCAGAGCAGATTTTTTTTATTGTTCAAATCAAAACTGCAGCAGGTGACTCAAACTTATATTTGGATTAAAGTGTTCAAGTGCTGTAACCCTCTTTATGAATATGAATTCAGTGATTTTAAATTTGAATATCCTAGCTACATCATGAATTTTTATAATTATTTTGTTAATTCATAAACCAAAATAGTTTGCATATTCCATTAACTATACTTTGATTTGCCTTAGGGCAGGTGGTATAATTCCAACCGTCGCTCAAAAGCTACACAAAGAGCACATTGAAAATGTGGTCCAAGAAGCAATAGATAAGAGTGGTGTCTCTCCTACTGAATTGACAGCAATAGCAACTACCATAAAACCAGGACTTGCATTAAGCTTGAAAGTGGGCCTAGAGTACAGCATAAAACTAATAGAACAATATAAGAAACCTTTTATTCCTATTCATCACATGGAGGCGCATGCACTAACTGTTAGAATGCTGCACATGGTGGAATTTCCCTTCCTGGTCCTTTTGGTTTCTGGTGGACACAGTTTGCTGGCCGTTGCCCGTGGAGTTTCTGACTTCCTTCTTCTTGGACAAACTTTGGATGAAGCACCAGGAGACACGTTAGACAAGGTATGTACAGAGGGAAACTTTAAGATCATCAATGAATAGCAGCAAGATTTTCTACAGTGTCTGTACAACCTGCACTTAAATTCTGAGCCTAGTATTACATTTGCTTTGAAGCAGCATGTTAGCAGGAAATATATGCCTCTGGTTCTTGGGCCAGGGAGCAGATTTGATAATGCTTGCTAATAGGGATTGATCAGCAGATGTAAAAGAGTGGGAAAATTTGAAGGGATGTAATGTGATTGTGTGCTTGGTATACTTGCACCTGAATTTCCTCAAGCTTTTACTGTGGATATTTTGTTTGAATCTTGATTTGCACCCCAAATTTGGAGCAAATGTACAGGATATTCCACCTGTAATGCTTAGTTACATACTTAGTTTACTATACCCGGCTTTTCCTTCATTAAGGTTTAGTTAAAAGATACTTCAGTCTTGTCAGATACTTTAGGAATTTTTCTTGTCAAAGAGTGTTAGGTGTCTAATTTTCCCCTATAAATTGGTAAGTATTTGTATACTATAAAATGTCTTTATGAACTTGAAATGTTTTTACATGTGAGAAATTGAGACATAATGTAGCTTCAAGTAGCTATATTTAACTGAACGTATGAACATAAGCAGATTTTTAAAGTTTACCAATCTTGAGTTATATTCATTTATGTTTACATTACAACTTCAGTGCATCTAAAATGTTTTGATTTAGAAAATAGTGTAAGATTTCTTCTTGATAGCAGCTGTTTTAAATCACAGTGATATATCTTCTCAGGTTGCACGAAGATTGTCCCTCAAAAATCACCCAGCATGTCATACAATGAGTGGAGGTGAAGCCATTGAATATTTAGCTAAAATGGGAAACCGGATGCAGTTTGAATTAACGCAGCCTATGAGCCAGCACCTGGACTGTGATTTTTCCTTTGCTGGTCTCCGCAATCAAGTCAATCAAATAATTATCAAAAAGGAAAGGGAAGAAGGTTTGCAAGTTTTTGGTATTTCAACTTAATGTACCAGATAGTAGTGACTTATGATTATATTGTACACTGTATTAAGTTAGATATTTTTCTCAACCAGGTTTCCAGATGGGTCAGATATTGCCCTGTGTAAATGACATTGCTGCTGCGGTGCAACATACAGTGACAGCTCACCTAGCAAAACGTACACATCGAGCTATTCTCTTCTGTAAAAAGGAAGGTCTGTTGCCTCAATCAAATCCAGCCTTGGTCAGTATCCTGTTGTGTATCTTATGTTTTACATCGTAATAATAAATATTGGGCAGCTTGCCATGCTCAATGAATTCTAAGCACTTTGGTACAGAAACGGAAAGCCAGAGAGTCACCTGGCTTGCTCTTGTGCAGTTAGTGATCTGTTCCAGATCTTTTAATTATTCTGTTCATATACGTTATGATGCATCTCTGTTTTTATGAGAGAGATTCAAAATTTGGAGCTCCCCTACATAGAGAGGTAAAACTGTTTTGCATGGTGGCTGGGGCCAGATTTAGAAGTGGTTTAACTTGTGACGATTTTATATTTCACATTCATCAATTTGAAATTTGCATTTTGATAGGACCTGGTGCAGATCATCTGTAAGCCCTTGCAACTGAAGAATTGAAGGCATGCACTATTTCCAAAACAGCATTATAATCTTATTCTTTTTCTGGTGTGACTTTACTGCTTGGAATGTGAGCCTTGTGGCTAGCGTTTGGTCACCTTCTTAACAGCATTAATTTGCAGATAAATGTTTCACAAAGAACAAAAGGAAGAACTCATTGTGACTGTGGCCATGCACTAACTATCACCCACATGGTGATTTCTACCCTGAGAAATCCATTCCTGGCCACAACTCAGTCATTCACATCATGTCAGCTGAAATCATTAACATTGTTAACCTTGACATGGAACTAAAACTGTTTCCCTACCTACAAGAATATTAAATAAAATTGTATTCATTAGAATAGGATCATAAGCACAAAAAATGTGTAGTGTATGAAAAATCAATTTGTGAAAGGTATGCATTTAACTTGTGCAATATTTATTGTTATATATTCCTTTTTTGTCATGTCAGGTAGTTTCAGGAGGGGTGGCCAGTAATGAATACATCAGAAAAGCACTTTCAATAGTAACTGAAGCAAATGGATTCTCACTGTATTGCCCGCCTCCGAAACTTTGCACAGACAATGGCATCATGATTGCATGGTGAGTGCAGTACATAGAGTTAATTTTACCTTGAAGTATTATATGCAATGAAGAAGCATTGTAATCACTTTCAAACATACTTGCTTAGTGGAAAACAGAATCAAAAAATGTTAAAATCTTGGAAGTTTCTTTCTTCATCATTATTGTGTGACATCTATCTAACTGTAGTTCTCATCCAAAGAAATGATGATTTTTTTAATCTGGACCAGCTTTTGGTGCATCTGATAAAAACACATCCTAAATAAGAACCACATTTTTTTTTTCTTTTTTGCTTTCTGTAGCTGTGTCAATGCTACTTTCTTTAACTTGCTTTAATAGCTGTGTTTCCACTGAAAGGATGTCAATAACAGTTTATACCATCCTTGAAGACATCACAAAATATCTTTATAAGGAGAGGAGAAACCAGTCGACTGAAGAAGGGAAATTGAGAAATTGAACATGTTGAATTGAACAAGTTTCTGAAAACAGGAAGCATTCCAGAGGGCAGGAGTTTTGCAGCTAAATGAAGAATAATTAATAGAAAAGGGGAGGGACTGAGAGATGAGCAGTAACTCGAGGTCTAAAGAATGATGTATATATAGGTTGTACAAAAGGCTAAAAATAAAATGACTGCAGGAAGGTAGAGTGAAACCATGAAGGAACATAAGATTGGGGACTGGAATTTTGCAGTTGCCTTAATGGTTTTGAGATGAGACAAATGCTTTGTAAGGCAGGGTCGATTAAAGAATATGATATTTAGAAACCTGCAAAGAACTGATGCAAGGAGACCAACTGGCAAGGTATTTAAAGAAGTTTTGATTTTTAAAGTGGTTACGGCAAGGACAAGGGTTTTGCCAGTGTTTGGGGAAGAAAGACGCGGATGGATATTGTTGAAGAAGTGGAAGAAAGTCTTGATAATGTAGCAGATGTAGGAGAGAAGGCTGAGAAATAACAAAGGATTCTATACCATCTGATCCATCTTGAAATGGCTGAATTTAAGTTGATAAAGCCAAGGGCAAAATGTTAAGTAGTTACTACAGTCCTTGCTGCTTTTTGATTGATGCTGTAACAGTTTACAAACAAAGTTACAGTCTGATGTCCTGATTTTAATGTTAAATACAATAATCAAGAATTGGATATCCCAGAACAGCACAACTATTTAGTCACCGCAGACTTCATTGATTAGACAGTTGCCCTTCAGTATTTCTATTGTATAACTTAGAACTTTATTACCTATTTCTGCCCATTATATCCATATGAATCTCAAGATCCAAGATCATTACTTCAACAGTGAAGGATGTACTGTACTCGGCAAATGTGCAGCCAAGCAAACAAATCTAATGTCTCAGTGCACAGAACTAACTGCACATAATTGAAATATACAATATCATTAAATATAGCAATATGTTAACAACCTATTTATTTAAAAATTGACACTCAAAAAAAATCAATAAAGTTAATGTAAGAAATGTGTTGTCACTGCTTGATGACAATGTTTTAACCTATCATAAAGTAGGTACAATTGAGCAGGGTCATTGAAAACTTATTAGCTCATTTATTTAGAGTAGCCCTGAGGTCAAACAACACAGAATTTAACTGTGTTTAACGGATTCCAGGGTTTGTTCTTTTGCTCCTATGGCCTATAGTTCATTCTTTTTTTGTATGAATAGCTTCCAGACATCTGTAATAAAACTGATGCTAATTTGAACACCAGTTCTTTTATCTTACTGTCGTGTTTTAATTTTAGTTGGTGCCTCAGATTTATATTTTCTGTGCTTATTATCTTTGGCATATCTTTAACATATCTTTCAACCATCTCCTATCATTGCTGGAAAAATCAATGCTCCTCTATTTTATCCCCAAAGTGAGCCACCTGAATTCAGGTCCCTGTGTTGCTTCTTAGCATCATCACCATGGACTGAGTGATTCTTCCTTGTATCTTGGAGTCCAAAACCAAATACAATATTTGAAGTGTGATTTGACCAGATTACACATGGATTCCTCTAATTTATGCTCTACTTTTTTGACCATGTAGGTAAATATTCTCATCACTCTTTTACCAATCTTATTTTCACATCATTCTATATAATTTTAACTAATGGGACACATAAAACACAATAATAATCAATAAAAGTCTTAAACATTTAAGCATTTCTATTACATTTATTTTACATTTTTTAATTTCATCACCACATTCATTTTTACAAACTGCTCATTTTCTATTACTAAACCAATTCTGAGAACAGGTTCTTTGCCTTGGATCAGCTCAATTACAGTTGTTAACATGGTGCACAATGTTACTATATTTCTTTGCTTTTAGGAATGGTATTGAGAGACTTCGAGCAGGAATTGATGTTATACATAATCCAAAAGGAATTCGCTATGAGCCCAAGTAAGTGACCAGACTTTTAGATTTTATTTTAATTACAATTATGAGCTAACCAAATTCTAAGGGTGCGGGAATTTTTTATTTCCGTCTAACACTGGAACTGGGTTCCAAGTTGTTGAAATGTGTGCTTGAGTTATATAACCATTATAAAGCAAGAAAATGCAAAATTAAATAAGAATGCACTGTTTTTAGTTTAGCTAAATTTGCTGTCACTTGTTTTGTTTTGCAGAGCCCCTCTTGGAATTGATTTTTCTGAACGAGTCAAGATAGCAGCCCTCAAAGTTCCATATCTGAAGCTAAAGACGTGATTAATGCTTCTTCGTTGTTCATCATTTTAGGAAATTGCACTGTGTTTGGTTTTAAATTAAATTCATGCATATTGTATTGTACTACTTGCAAATTTAAGAAGAGGTATTGGTCATTTGCCCACTCAAGTCTCCTCTGCCATTTAATAAAATCCTGGGTAATCTGATTGTAAACTATAGTTGCATGTTTGAAATATCAGTAATTTAATGGTGACATTCAACAATTGAGTGAAAATTGTATATAAAGTCACTAAATTAGGTTGATGGCTTAATCTTGCTCATATATTCTATATTTAACAGGGTAGGAGCATGGCAGCTCAACTCTTGATTGTTTTTATATTAAGCTCAACAACAAACTACAGAACGTAATATGGTGAATGCCTAAAAGTTGGCCTTCAGTCTGTTTTGTTAGGTGACAGCTAAAGCAGAGAAAACGGAGACAAAACCTGTGATGCTTCCTCTGTCAGTGCTTTGTGGAAAAGCAAAAACATCCATAATTAGCAATTTTTGAGATAAATCAATTAAACTCAGTTATTTTTGAGTTCTTTATTCTAATGGTCACTTTCTGAAGTTCTTCCATTGCCCTACTGAAAAAAGAAGACTGCAGAAGGAACAATTAGCACTCTTGTAATTCCCTTGCCAAGTGTTTTGGTCCCAATTAATATTTCTACTGAACAAATCAGATCCTAGAATGAAACCTGGCTTGATAGGTCATATCTTTTCTTTTAGTTTAACGTGGTGTTCGTTCATTGAAACATAAGCCCGGAAAGCTGCAAATTTTCTTCAATGGTAAAACGGAAGTTTATTAAAGAAAAATGATAAAAATCAAACCAAGCTATTTAATACAGTGTAAAAGATGTTACAATACACAACTAAGCAATGTTTTCATCTATTCCTCAACATCATGACTTTATAAGTGTCAAATTCAGAGTGATTACCCCATATCTCAAATTATAAGTTCAATCAACAATAGTCTTCTTAATGAACACGCACAAAACTGAAAGCTTAGGTTTTCTCAGTCTTTCAATAATCTGCCAGTTTCTAATCAAGCACTGCCAGTCTGAAAGAGTGTCAAATTAAATTTCTATTAAACTAACTTATTGCCTGAATTGTTCCATGCTCCTTTTTGAGGCAAAACTATTGATTGAATTTTACCAAAAATTAGATAAGTGCCAGATTTGGGAAGCTGCATGAGGGGTTTCTCACCATGGCTCTCATGAATTTTCTGACATAATTTTATGTTTCTCACCTCATTGTATATGCACCATGCCTCTATGGCACCATGCTATCACTATCTTGTGCTCACCGATAACAGAAATACTCGTTGTTGCCAGAAAGTTCTTCAATTTCTGGTGTTGGTGTCATATTTAAAGCAGGTCATGCTACCAGCTAGGATCTGCCGTTCATAGTATGTTTAGTGGGAGGGAAACGGGAAAAAAAGAAGCTTCTAAGGTCACGTGGGTGGCACTTCATTGCAAATAGAATTTTACATTCATATTATTTGTCTGACTGTCATTGTAACTGCAGCTACAAGAATGATACTACACAGACTACCCACCATGCGTGCCACACCATGTTAGAACCCTCTTTAGGGGAGTGTTACTGTTTCCTTTACAACCCATGCAGCATAACATCTTGTCATTGAGCAATGTGGAAGTGCCTGATTAATGCAATTTCCGCTTGAAGGGCCTTATATCGCTCATAAGTAAAGCCCACATGCTCGGTCAGAAAATAAAATACTTAGTCTTCTGACTCGTGGTATGATGTCAGCCATTTTCCATTTTTATTGCACATGTGTAATTTGGATGAGGATAGAAAGCAACTCAAGTCACAATTGGCACGCTGAATCACAGCTTCAGCATGGAAGTCAAGGGATTCCCTCCAAACTTTTAAGTTCTTTTCTTTCTTGCACTGTCTGTTGACCCCATAAGTACCAAGCTTCCACTAGTTCCCACCCACCATTTCATTTAAGTCTTCATCTCCCAATTTAACTACCTGAGCCCTGGCCCACCATCATGCTGAATTATCTCACTGTCGAAGCCAGGGTGATTGTGCCCCTTGATGGTGAACCTTCACTCATATGCAGTAACCCATATCCTCCAAAGCACTAATCATCTAGTCATATGTTGAGCTGGCTCCTTTTACAGTTATTGTTCCCTCTGCATACCGGTATGTTGCCTCCAATCCCTGCAATTGACCTCCCCACCAAAGCAATAACTCTTGATAACCCCCTCCCTAATTTTCACTGAAAAGAACTCCAGCACACACAAAACCTTACTTTACCCTCTGTTCAACCAGACTGATCTCCTCAACTGACAGATTGTGAATATCAAAACTGGTTGCACTGCAGCTGCAGGACTCATCCTGGCCCACTCCCTGGACTGTGATGATAAGGAACACCTGACCCTGAACACTTCCAAGCAGCAGACTGACTGTGTCCAACCCCAGATCGAAGTCAGATGTTGCCCTTGATCAACTGTGATGGGACATGATTGAAATGAATAAAATTCTAAGGGGCACAGATAATGTAGATGAGAAAGAACTTATTCCCCTGGTGGACAGAATCAATAACCAGGGGGCATAGATTTTGTAAGAGACAGGACGTTTACAGGAAATGTGAGGAAAAGTTTTTTTAACTCAAAAGATGGGGAATCTCATTGCTTGTGAAAGTGATAGAGGCAGAAACTCTCATAACACTTAATAAGTATTTAGCTGTACACTTTGAAAAAATGGAACTAGAATAATTAGGTGGTTGTTATTGACTGACACAGACTTAATGAGCCAAAGGGCCTTTTTCTGTGGTATAGATCTCTATGATTCTATGACCCTCTACTGACTGTCAACAGCCCTCCTTGACTGAGAATTACTCCCTTTAGACTTTGAGACATGGTCACTTTGCTTAATACATGCAGTGTGTTTGCTGTGAAAGCTGCTGATGCATACTGTAGATGAGATGTTGAAAGTGCATGGTGTTGTACAGCAATGAGCACACACCCTTGGCTGATCATTGCTGCTTCCTGGCTTTGCATCAATGCTACTGCAAGGCAACACAAAAGTACTTTCAGTCTTTAAGCTCTGAATGAGGCAGCAAAGCGCTAAAAGCAGATGTACTGTCAGTTTCGATGTAGGCATAGAATGACTGTGCACTAAGAAAACAACGAGCCCTGAGGTATTCCCTGCATCAATGCACGAGTTCGGCGCCTGTCCCTGTGCACAGTGTTCCAGCAGAAGCGGTACAATGCAAGGTGTTTTGTGCACGCCAAAATGTAGCATTGAAGTGGAGAACAGTATTCTAAATGAGTCAAATATATGCTACGATGATGTGCTGAGAATGGTGTATACCCTACATTACCCTCTGTGGACAGGGGTGCAGGCAGTCACTACGCACGGAGCATAACCTGAGATGTTGGAGACTGCACAAGATGGAGGTGCAGAGGAGGAAGTGGTGAGCTGGAGCCACCAGGTATCCAAGATAACAAGGTGTAGAGCTGGATGAACACAGCAGGCCAAGCAGCATCAGGGGAGCAGGAAGGCTGACGTTTCTTGATTTTCATGATGGCAATTATCACCATCTAATTTTCTTTCCAGTGCACAGTAGAATAGGAAATAGCATATAAATGACCAACATTGGGTACTAATTAGATATAAACTCATGCAAATAGATTCTCATCATGCCTTTCAAACCTTATGTGGAAAATCAGGCTTTTTTTGTGATGTCAATAATCCCATTTTCACACTCCATATTTTCCCAACTAACTCAACATTACACACAATATTCTAGACCTAGGAATAATCAGCTCTATATTGTACTTCTGACCCCAGTTAGGTCTCCTCAAAAACTGATCAAAATCTTTCAGTCTCTGGGTTTCCTAAGCAAAGTTAATCCTTGATTATTCTAAACCAAAAACAAACTAATGACCTTAACATTTGTACTATTAACGATAAACTCAGCACAATACAAACCATTTTCGGTTAACACCAGAATTCCCTGCTCTCTGAAACATCCTAGATTAAGTCATGCTTCCAGAAAGAATGACTGACTGACTGACCTAGTTATTTGTTAACCTTTCATAAAAGAAACCAATATTCATGTTCGACTAGTTTGAAAACCAATCTCTAAAAATATTTATATTTAACATAAAGAAAACCGACTGATCAAAATAAAATAAACTCAATAATTGCAAGTGTAAAACAGCTCTCCTTAAATCTGTACTGAATAAAGACAAGGCCTAATGTAGTACCAAATCATACAACTCCAGAGATTACAGATTTTATTTTCATGCTGTGCCTAGTTATTGGGTTTTAGCCAGCACAGCATTGTACCACCCAATCTTGTACAGTGAGCACTGCCCTATCTGAGAGCAAGAGGAACAGGTTGTCATTCTTGATTATTATCCAACATTGAAAAAGCGCATGTTGCTTGAGAACAGGTCAACCTTCACTGTGATTGGTGACTGTGTGAGGCCTTTGGAACTGCCCCAGCAAGAGTTGGTGCTTTGGGAAGAAAGTTGGATAAAAGTCAAAGACTGTAAGAACCTCATAGTTAATGTATTGTTTAAAATATAATGCTTTTTACCCTAAAAGTGACATAAGGGCTTCTTAACTTCAAAATCATCATGTCTGTTTCAATGGAACCTGATTTAGTGAATAAATGTTCTCTTAATGAGCTTTACTTTGACAAGCTGTCTAAACAGATTTATTAAGGTCAATGGGAATCACAAAATAGATTCCACTGCTGAGGCCATACCTAGCACAAGTACCATGATTGTCATTGCTAATAACCAATCATCTTATCTCCTAGACATTACTGCCGGAGTTCCTCAGAGTTGTATCCTAGGCCCAAACATCTTCAGCTGCTTCATCAACGATCTTTTTTTTCACCTAAATTCAGATGAAATGGCTAAATAAAATGTGAGATATATTATTAATACTACAGTATGTTGTCAATAGAGAGAATTGGGAAAGGAGAAATTAAGAAGAGAATCATGCAGATCATTGTTGCTTCTATGTTCTGTTCATAGAGCTTTTTTGGAGTGATCTGCAAGCAGATCAATTGCCTGCTGTTTATTTTTAGATGTGCCATGTCCCAATAAAGTACATCATGTTATATAGCAGCTGGGGTATGATGAGAGCCATGAATTTAAGTATTAAAAAGGTAATGTTCATTTCAAATGATTTAGAATCTTTTTTTGTCTTGGCTTCTGTCTGTTATTTTGAACATGAACTTGTTTCATTGGAGTAATTAAAATACTGCTTGTGAGTAACTACTGCTTCCTAATAAGATTTCTTTTAAAAAATGCACAATTTTTAACACAACTTAGATGTGAAATTCAAATGGAAATTATAGACTGAAATAAATTAATTTCACTTTTTCCACACAAAGTAGATAAAATAAAATGAATAGTGACATGTAAATTGTCACCCCTTGGCTTCAAGTTAAGAAATGTTCAAAATACATTATTTTCTGATTCCTGTAAAAACATAGTTAACTAAACACTGCATTTCAAATTGTATTCCAAGCTACAGATGAGATTTCAGAATTCTATGCC